GAGAGAGAGAGAGAAATATATAGGAAAGGGTAAGAAAATGGAAGAAGAAACGAGAAGAAAGCATCGAGTCGGTGCATGGCAGGAAGGACGTTCTCTGTACGATTTCTTATCGACAGCTTGTCTGGAAAGGGGTTGTATATCGACGCTCGAGTATAAGTTATCAATTCTACGTGGTTCATTAAGAAATTACTTACTTAACGCGATCCACGCGTCGCCCTATACGCGAAATCCGTGACAATAAGAATCCTATCCTCGTACAACGTTCAATAACGTATTGTTAAAACATATCAATTTTTTCTTTCCTTTTTTCTTCCATTTTTAAAATACGCATTGTTGTAATTTCTTATCTGCATATAAATCGCAAGTTTAACATCGATAAATAATACATAAGAGTAATTTTTATTAGAATTTAATTTAATCGAACTCGTGCGCAATTATTTACAAAATACATTATTTACGAATAATCTCTCCTTTCGTCCATCATTTTATTTTTCAATGATTCTTCAACAAGGATCAAAGCGCGAATAATGGGATAAGGAGAAGGATTGAATCGTCAGAATTCGATGTCCGTACGTTCGTTCGCGAAATTATATTTCGATCGGATCGTGGTAAATTGATCCGCGAGTGACAAGCCAATACAAATCGCCACGCGATTGCGAATTAATGCTGCATCAGACGAGCCATTAATTTAATTAATTGCGTGTTCTGAAATCACAAAGAAAATAATCGGTGGTTCCAATCACTTGTTTATATATTCCACTAATTACTTCGCCGTGATATTAAGAAATGCTTCTATATTCTGTTACAATGTTGTTACATACTGTGTTGTGGGTAATTTTAATTTTTTTTTTTTTTTTTTTTTTTTACTATACAGGCTTATGGAAATGGTAAAAATTGCGTAACACAGGCGCAAAAATTGTATGGCGTCGTCGAAACGATTACGTCAGTCATTATCGATATTACGACTTTTTTCAAATATTTATAAATATATCTGGCTCGAAAACAAGTAATCTCTCTTTTTGTTGAAGATGATAGCTTGAGAATCGTAAATTATTCGTGCTAAAAGTTGTACATGTACGCTTGTAAACTTGAGTTGACGAAAGATTACGAGGAAAAATAGCAAGTTGGAGGAAACGATGTATTGCAGCATCCCTTTTGATTTGAAAGATCCGAATAATAAAGTATAATTGATAATTGGGATTTTCAAAAAGCTAGTAATATTGTTAAGATTTATTATTAATAATTATTTGAAACGGAGAAACGATAAATCCTTAATTATTTCAATTTGGAATATAAAAATTTCCAATATGATAAAAATTAAAAGTTAAAAAAAAAATTTAAAAAGATTCGAGCATAATTAATGAAATGAGAAATTCGCAATATCAAAAGTAAACAAAATTCGCTTAACTAAGATATTTTGTTGAAAAATTTTGTTGAATAATAACCTGATGCAATATAACACGATTGTTAACCAATGCTTGTGTGATCTTTTTCTAGATGTATCCTCCACTATTTTTCTTTTTTCTTCCCCCCTCTCCCCCCCTCCCCCCAAACACGAGTATAACATGACGAAAGTAAGTGAAAAAAATGGCAACGTTTAAATGAACGATAGAAATGAACTTGTACTTGCACTTGATGGTAACCAATAAATTGTAACGTAGTTACAAAATTAGAAAATAAGTGAATCGTCAGATAAATACTCGTAATCTCGTTAGCTAGCCGTTAATGACATTTTCTGATAGCAAGTTAAAAGACCAGTTTTTTTCACTACTTTGGCTACTTAGAAGGCGCCATCTTTTTTTCTTCTTCTTTTTTCTTAGAGATAATCAAGCGTCGTTTACATTATTCCTTATTACATTATTATTATCTACACATCTCTCTTTTATTGTGCATAATAAGTACTTTAAATTCTCTTAAAGGAAAATTTCTATGAATATTTAACAGGGAGAAGATTCTTAACTCGTTTCTTAAAGATTAATATCCGTGATATCAATTAGGTATCGGTGGATGTTAATTTTAATTAAAAAGAAAAAAAAGAAAAATCTCGTAAGAAAATTTTTACACGAACATTCGATTTAACAGAGGAATCGTTCAATATTAACGCGATTAAAGGATCGTTAAATTAAGTAAATGAAAATTACGAAACGATAATCGATCGTGTCGCAGATAAATTGGCAATCAATCGCTTGTCGTTAATTGTCAAGTATCGAATTACCAGTTTCGAATACTTTTTCCATGATTCACGATGCCAGACACAACAAGACAAATCTATGACGCATTTAAGTAGGTATATACTTTACTAGAGCTCGATGTGTACATACATAAGATTGCACTTATGCAATAGCGTTACGTATAGAAGAGTAGAATAGGAACTTCTTTTTCCTCCCCTCCCTTTTCAATTTTCAATATTCCTTGGAATAAATTCCTTTTCTCAGATTCTTTCTTCTTTGGGGGATTTTTAAACTTTCTAATCTTCCTTACGCATCGTTCCAATTTTGCCTAAATTCTAAAAGAGAGGATTTTTCCCTAGGTTACAAAAATTTTGAAAAATTCATCCACGACGAACAATCTTGGAATCTTTTAATTACGCGATTGATTATCGATGTAAAATAATTTATTTTGCCATTTTAAATTGTTTTCCTGTTATAGATATACACGTGATATCCGTCCAAAAGATGATGTTCCAATGTAATTACACTATCTCCACTGGTATGAATTATTTCACATTGTTATCTCCTGTTATTGTTAGAGTTCTATTTCGGAGCGTATTATGCTGACAGTGAGAAAAGATAATTTATTTGTTTTGATCTCTATTACAGCCTTTTAGAAATTCTTCATTATAGTAGTACATCCGTAATCTCGATGTGTAGTAAACACTTTAATTGGAGCACAGATCGCGTATTTATCTGTAACACGTCTACATTTTGGCCGACTGCTGCCAGAGATATTCGAGGAACGCGAATGGTGAATGCCGATTTAAGGATAATCGATCAAAGGATATATTCAAGGAATGTAAATCGAAATAGAGAAACGTTTATTTATAGAGGTATAAAAGGAACATTCTCCCTCAGAAATATTTTCTATTTATTTTATTCTATTGGAAGAAGTATCTTTTGCAATTTTAAGCAATATCCGTTTAATAGAAATAGAAATGTCACAAAAGTATTTATAGAATTATTAAAGAATTAAAAAATTTTAGAAATGGAAAATATCTCCTTTTTGTATTAACTTATAGAATCAATTCTGTTTTTTTTTTTTTTTTTTTTTTTCATTAATTTATTTCAATCTATATTTCTAAATGAAACGTTAGAACGCATCTTGGCCACAAGACAAATTATCCTATTATTATCACAAAATACGTACGTCATTTCGTGTCAACTATAATGAGATGTTCTTATCAAAACCTCGTAATCCGAATGATTGATACAATGCAGATAAAAATTTCGTGAGAATTTTGCAATTTATCGTACAACAAATTGTGTTGTACGACGAATAATAATTTGTTAAAGATGGAGGGAAAACATCTTTGTAGATTAAAAGACAAACGAATCAATTTTTTTGAGATTTCGTCAGAATCAAGTCTTCGTCGTTGAAAATTATTTCTTATCTTATTTTAATCAATTTCCTAATTTTAATATACCATCATAATATCATTAATTTCTGTAAGACAAGTACTAATTTTACTTGTCTTTCTAATCGTCATACATTTAAAATTAATTTTTACACAATTCAATAAAGAATCTCTACTTCTTTTATTTATTTATTTATATCTATTATCATCTACGTATAATATTTCTTCAAAACAAAATTATTTTATTTTAATTAACACAACAATTGAAAATCAACGATAGAAGTTTTCCTTATTTTTCTGAAATCTGAGGAACCGTTTTCTTCGTGACTCCTCTCTGAGCGTGAAGTGTCTAAAGTTTATCAAGATTTATCATGGCCAGCTCAGTTAATTGCACTCGTGATAATGCGTAGCAATAACATGGAATCGTCTAACACGCTTCTCGAGCTTGAAAGGTTAAAAATTATTTGTTAAGCTCGCGTGTCATTTTTTGGTAATTTTTTTTTCTTTTCGCAGGCTGAGAAGAAAGGAGCATCGCCATCCGAGTACGGATTAGTCTTTGGGATTTTCGAGTTCATTGTGTTTATCATCAGTCCCCTTTACGGACAATACGTGAGCAAAATAAATAATTATAATTTATTGTTAATTCTTGATTAACATTTATATTTTTAACTTAACGTTTTTTTCTTGTCAAACTTTTTTGTTGGTATTTTATTTTAGTATCGTGGCAATAATGGAAGATAGTTACCATAAGTAGGTATATCAGATTTTCTTACAGAGTTTCAAAAGTTTTTTTAAAGAAATTAAAAAAAAAAAAATCATGATAATTGTTACGAAGTATTGGAAATGAAAAGAAACAAAGAAGGGGATCGTTCGTAAATAATCGATTAAAAAAAATTATTCGATTACACTATAATCTCAACAGCCTGAGAAATGGCAGTTCCAGTTTACTTCACTGTATTAATTTGCCTACTCGTAGGCGCTCGCCTTTCATCACCAATATTTTTCCTTCCTCCGTTAACGAAATTACTGGCAATCGATACATTTTGTGTCGAAAACAAAATTAAAATAGTTTAAGATCGATGTGTTTCTCAATCTTCGAGCGTGACTATAAATATCATTCTTATCTTTACTACTAGAAAAAAAAGGAGAAAGAAAAAGGAGAACAAAAATAACGTGATCGAAGGGACCGAGGAGATAAAGTATCGTTGTTCGACCCAGCTTTCAAAACACTTTGAACACATTTAATTTAAGACGATTCGTATTATTCATCGATTTCTTTATATTAATTAAATTATACTTCAACGTCGTGAACAGTTGTCAAGTTTTAAAGTTCTGAATTTTTCTTTTTTTTTGCAATTACCAAAATAAAAGAATCACGATGATTAAGTGTAATAATTTTCACTACAACACTCTCTTAATTCACAACACATTTTTATCATTTTTGGCAATAAAATCGACGGTTGTTCACCGTAGCTGCACCGAATCGGGCCAAAGCTGTTGTTCAACGGCGGTATCCTGACAACGGGCACCTGCGCCATCTTCTTCGGTCTGTTGGACAAAGTGAACGGCCATTATCCGTTCATAATCCTTTCGTTCGTGATTAGAATCGTGGAGGCTATGGGGAACGCTGCGTTTCTCACAGCAAGTTTCGCCATTATCGCCAAAGAATTCCCCGATAACGTGGCCACCACTTTCGCCAGTCTGGAGACGTTTTTCGGCCTGGGCCTGATCGTTGGCCCAACTGTCGGCGGTATCCTTTATCAGGTAAGACGATAATTTCTCGAAAAAAAGAAAAAGAAAAAAAAAAAGAAAAGAAAGAAGAATATTCTCGTAGATTTGAAACGCATTAAGGGCAATAGTTATGAGTCATTCGTTCTTCCTTGAAACTCTTACTTTGGGTTAATGGTTCTCTTCTGGTTAGAAATGGACGCAGAATCATCGTCCATTGGAAGCAATTGTAAAAAGATTAGGATAATGGGTTACTTTAGAATTTTCCTTCCTGAGAGATATTCGATCTTTTTAATCTATCTATCCACATTAAGATGTTGTAAGTCTGAGTTGGCAAATTGTATTTTTAAATCAATCGGATTAGACGGAACAGATTTTTTGAAACTATTATTAATAATTTTGAGAATGGAACGTTTTTAATACAGGTTGGAGGATACACGACACCCTTCGTTGTCCTGGGATCAGCTTTATTCACGACCGCAGTTATGACCATCTTTATCTTACCAGTTCATTCGAACAGTAATCAAACTAATCCCAATACAGTGGGTGAGTGGTGAATATCCATACAATATAATAATAATCCAAATTGGCCTGTAATCGTGATTCAAAAATCTATCTTTTCCAGGTATGAAGAAAGCTTTGAGAATTCCAGGCGTATTGATCGCCACGTCGTCCATAATAGCAACCAGTATGAGCATAGGATTTTTGCAAGCGACCCTGGAACCTCATTTAAGGCAATTTGACCTGAGCCCTATCGTTCTAGGCTTAATGTTCGTGATTAACGGAGGCACTTACGCCATTACAGCCCCCGCGTGGGGATGGCTCTGTGACAAACACTCGCATCCGAAAGTAATTATCGAAATAACCATTACACGGTTAATCATCCTCCTGGAAATTTTCCAAAATTTTTGAAAAATTGTTTTCTCGACTCGAGCAGCTTGAGGAACTTTGAATCTTCGAAATGGAAATTTCTTTTAGGTAGCTACCGTAGCCGGATGCATCCTCGTGGTCATAGGATTTATCTTGGTCGGGCCAGCACCTTTCATACCATGCCCAACCCTAGTCTGGATGACGATCTGCGGTTTGGTTGTTCACGGTTTAGGCATGGCTGCGCAACTGGTCGCCAGTTTCACGGACGCGTTGAGGACGTCGATGTACGTTATTTGCCATAATAACGATGATCTTTGAAAATAATGAATTATTCGAATAATTCCTTCCTCCTTTAGACAATACGGATTCCCAAATAATTTAGAGACCTACGGTCTGATCAGTGGATTGTGGACAAGCACGTTCGCACTCGGAGCCTTCATCGGGCCCAGCGTCGCAGGAATTTTATTGGACAATATCGGATTCAGAAACGCTACGATGTTCATCGTACTGCTTCACATGCTCGTGGCAAGTGCATCAAATTCAAATCATCATTTCTCATATTGCAATGATTTATCGTTCTCACCGTCATATTTAGCTAAAATAATTATTGCCAACAGGAAATTAAACGATACCACTTCTTCCATTACCAATAATCGTATCAGCCAAACGTAACATCACAATTCACACTCATATCTCTTATCACCTCCAACAGAAAAGGCCTTATTCCATCCATATCTTATCTGACCAAGTTTCGACCACCTATAAACATCTCCCTCGCGTCTTTATCACTTATTCTATATCTGTACATATATATAGGGCGCAATGGCAGCTGTGTTCCTGAGCGCGTGCACGATGAGACACAAGCCTTACACGGAGATCAACGCGACGACGGAGGACCCGAGGACGCCTTTGACGGACAGTTGCCAGTCGCGGAGCGGGAGCTATCGCCACCCCTCGGCCAGGGGGGGAGGAGGGCAGGGCGTGCCGATCGTGGACAGGCCGAGCGGCATGAATTCCCTGATCGTTTGCAACAGTTACTCGAACAGGGCAGGGGCATGGTCGAGGGCTTCGTACAGCGGCCGTTACTCGCACAGTTACGGCTCGATCGAGACGAAGAGGTACCTGGAGATGACCACGTGACGGGTGTCCACGGTGTTGTTGCGAAAAAAGAAAAAGGAAAAAAAGAAAAAAAAAAAAAAAGAAGGAACATCTCGAGATAGGGTCGTGCCTTCCAGTATTGTGACGCTCGGGTCCTGTTCTATGGACGATCGTTGGGGTTGGATTTTCTTTGGAAAAACGTCCTCTCTATTGACTATCGTGATTCTCTGGTGAAGGAGGGAATGTCGAAAGGGAAGGTTCGAAAAATTTGGTTCGAGATATAATACACCTCGTACGAGAGAGGTGTGAATTTTAACGATGATGTTTGTAATAAATGGAAAGCCTCGATTGGCATTAATGTTTCGTCGTAATGTGGTAATTTGGATGCGTTTAGAATTGACCGAGAGAATTGGAGAGAGGGATAGGAATATATCAACATCCTGTGTGCACGAGTGAGAGAGGCGGGTTAGGGTAGGAATATTTTTTCCTTCTTTTTTTTTTTTTTTCTCCTTTGGTATCTTAATATTCATTTCGAGTATCTATATTTTGAACGTTTAACAAGAGGGTTTAAGAGGTGCATTTGTGGCAATGCATTTGATTCAAGTTTGGATTAGGAATTTTGAGTTTACGAGTTGAACTTTAAACAACTGGTTGAATGGAAATGTATAATGGCAATGTCTGCTTGAAATTATATTTGTATTCATTTTGCATATCTCGTGGAAGAGATCGTTACAAAACGTTTAGATAATAGGTTGATGTAGTGTGTTGTGCACATACAAAGTAAATTATGCAATATTTCGTCAAGGTAATAATAAAAAGTGAGAGAGGTGTTTCGCGAGTTTATCGTTCGATAAATCGGGAGATAAATTTCCATAAAAAAAGGATTTAAAATAAAATCGATGGATGAAAAGATGGCGAGTGGAGTAATAAATGAAAATGTCATAAGAATATATTTAGTCGAGTGGAAGAAATATATAGGTGTTAAATTAATCAAATTAGGAATTTTTTTTTTTAATAGGATCCTGTCAATTATTTATTAATAAGAATTTAATAATTATCTCACGTCGATGAGATTTTAAAAATTTCGAACCGTTTTAATAATTATCGATTCTTATTATTATTATTTATATAAAATATTCTTATTTATTTAACAGATATTATCTAATGAACACGTTGAACAAAATTAGTGGAAACTTAGTAGAAACTTTCTACTATCCTTACATAAGTGAAGTAATCTTATCAATCGACTTCACTTTGATTTTTAATTGATTCATGAAAGAATGAAACAAAGAAACGAAAAACATTGAAAATTGTTGGGAACAATTCTTATTTGATTAATCGAGTTTAGGATTGATTCTTGTGAAATACGAAATGAAAGATTTCTTCTAGGATCGAACACGAATCTGGGTGGATTGTCAAAGACAAAATTAAAGAATTTATGGTACAGACGTTTGAAACAGTATTCTTAGGATACAGATGCATCGTTGCACTTCGATCGATTAAAAAACTATCATTTTTAACGAAGGAAGAATCGTTGGTTCGATCAATGAAGCGATCGAGAGAGTGAAAAATAATTGGAAGGAACGATAAGAAGGATAATTCCTTGCCAATTTTTTTATTTTTTTTTCGCAAAAGAAGAACGAAAAACCTTCTTATTATAGAAATTTTGTCTCAATTATTACATTTTTGTTCGAAGAAGAAAAGAAAAAAATCGTTTAAAGTCGTGATTAAATTTAAGAGAAAAAGATCCTTTTTATTATGAATCTTTCAATTTATTATTATTATTATTATTCAACGATGGATTGTTATTAGCAATTAAAAAATGAGGCACGACCCTGAAATAGAGATCTCATGTACAAACAAGCGCATTTTTTTTTTTTTTGTTAAATAAAAAATAAATCTAAGAGACCTCGTCCCCGATCTAATTAAATAAATATCGTCTCAAAGACAAATCATCCAAAGAAAAAATCATGAAAATATCTGTACATATTACGCCCGCGCATGATTTTAATCTCGTCGTCGTCATTGTTCAATCCTGTGATCGATGACGCGTTTTCGATTGTGTTGTAGATGTCGTATAATTAATTAATAATTTTCAACTTTAAGTTCTTTAATAAAAGAAAAAAAAATTTTACTTATCACTCTATTTAATCCTCCTATCTATCCATATTATCGTTCGAACGATTATTCGATTGAATAGGTATTCGTTCTTCTATAGTTTCTTCGAAGCATTTGCAAAATTCCTCCATTCCTTCATTCGTTCTTCTATTTTTCAGTTCGATCAACTTTCACTCGTATAATAATATAAACTCGTATAAAATTGTATATTTACGTCCGCCTAAAAAAACTTCTCATAAATATTTCAATAACTTGTTCCAATGATCCATCGAATTGTAGGCAAAAGGCGAGGAATTTAATCGGCTCGCAGTCAGATTAACAGAAAAACTGGAATTCCGATTAACTTTCGAAAGAGGGATTAAAAATTTCGAGTATACATTAATTTCCTTCGCGATATTTTAATATTTTCACGATGATCGAAATAGGAGAACAACATCCCCGAAAATTGGACGTCCATCAAAATTTTTCCCGCAAAACATTCAACATCGCAATTTTCACCGGGCAAAGATTTTCACTCCCGAGCGACGAAACGTTTTCTTCGCGCCCGCTTAAAATTCCAAGGCGCTCGCGCATACGTGACACACCCACGCACGTGCGCGAATTCTTTTGGAAACAATAGAGCGCTGCCGCAGAGAGTGCAACGACGTTGCATGCACGTGCATGTGCGAATACACCGGTGGAAATCGATGGTTTCCTCGTCGATGATTCACTTCCAGCCCTCCTTCACCCGAAACTAATTTAGTTTTTCTCTAAAAACTCGTGTCTAGAGTCTCTATGTAGAGCCAACGATCGGTCGGTTTGTTAAAATTTTCAATCGAAAAGATTGAAGCAGAGAGATTAATTTTTCCCGGAAAATTCGTTTCAAAAGGAGAGACTGTATGTTTCTTTCTCCTCAAATTGCATAAAATTATATATCAATCAACTTCAAAAAAAAAAAAAAGAGAGAAAACGATTAGATTAATTTCTCTTAAAATTAATTGAAATTATCGCTCGCTCGATAACAACAACGCTGCACTTTTGCAAGAACGCAAACGTGGAAAGCATCTACCTCCCCCCTCCCTCCCCCTCCTCCAAACCTCTTGCCATATTTACAAAGCGCGTGCACCGCTGCCTTTTGACTTAAGATGGCGTCCCGTCCCGCTACTTCCGGTTCGACGACCGATAAGTCGATCGTAAATTTCGCCAGCCGAGTCACCCTCGCGCGAATTCGCAGCTCGTAAAGCAACACGTACGAGCTTGTACAACTCGTGACTGTATTTCCTTTATTCCGTTCTGTTCTCCTCTGGTCGGGTGTGCACCGACCGGAAATTACACCGTTCTCCGCGTGATGCGCCACGTGCGAACTTATTCCATCCATATTATGTTGAAACAGAAACAGTGTGTCATCGCTGTGACGAAAGTCTTTGCATGGAGGGCGCACGAAAGGGAATTTTTCGTGAGAAAAGAATTGGAATGATGAATGGGTATTTGAAGAATGACGCGAAAATATTTTTTCGCTCGAAACGAAAGCGATCGAGGAGAAGATCGGATTGTTGAAAGAATCTTAAAATCGAATTTTAAAAAGTGAATAAAGCAAAAATTGGCGATGAAAATTTGACTCGAGACGAAAGGTATATGAGAAATAGGGAGAAGAAGAGTATTTCGAAGATGGTGAACGGAGAACGAAAGCGAAGCAAACGAGAAGAACGAAAGGAAGAGGAGTGAATTATTAACGCACGTTGAGGTCAACGGTGTGCATCCAAGTGTCCGTTGATGCAGTTCAGGAGGATCTCCCTCTTCCCCCCCTTTTCTGCTCAACCCTATTTTCAACGAGAATTCTTCGAGATAGAACGCGGCCATCTTTCAGAATAAAGGAAGAAACAGCACGGTCGAGGGCGTAGCGGCGCAAGATAATCATCTGATCGATCACTGTTTTTCTTTTCCCCCCCCTCCTCCTTCCTTTATTTGCACACTCGTGGCCATAATTTTCCCGATTGTGTTTATTACATCATTAAACGCGTGATTCTTTGCGTGATGCACATTTGCATTTACGCGGTTAATTATTATTTATTATTATTATTCGCACAGGTAAATAAAGGTTTGTTTGAAACGCAGAATGCAAATAGAATATTCGCGGTGGCGAGATAAAGAAATGCTCATTTCTTATTTAAATAATTCTAATTAATATACAAAATTTATTTACTACCTCTTACATAAATACAAGAAATTTTTTTATTTGTATATTTCTCTGCCCATTGTATAAAGTCCCTCGATTTTCATTGACGACGCTTTTCTTTCTTTTTCTTTTTCTTTTCTCAAACGCGAGAAACTTTCTTCCACCGTGCTAGCTTTCATAGCTATAGCAAGCGTTTGACAATCGCTGACCATCATTTTAATTTCTAATTTTGTCGAGAAAATCTCAAAATTTTAATCTCCCCAATTGAATTCGAGTCGTTTCTCGATAATGGAAATAGAGAGGAGCTGTAGCTATCCAATTTTTTATATTTATTATAATTCGCGTATAAGTGTACCGACATCGTTAGTCGAGAACGATTAACGACATTAATGGCGGCGACTTTATGTAATCGGTCGTTACACACGAATAGTGAAATAATTGCGTAACCGATTCGATGAAATGTATCGAAAATTGATGGCGTCGATCAAGGATTACTACGGGTAGAGAAAGCCAGCCAGAAGAAACGAAGTTTATCGTTCCATTATTCTGGCCGATTGCTTCTAAAAATGTATTACTTCATGATACTTAAGCGTATGTAATAAACCAGGCAGACAAATAAACATAATGAACTGTGCGATTAACTGCGTAAGGCGAATAAAAATTTGAATAAAAAGCCTCGCGATTTACGTAAATATAATTTTATTCTTCTTCTTCTTTTTTATTCTTGAAACGTGGAACATAACTTTTTCTTAATCTTCTATCCGTCGGATCTTTCTTTCCAATATTGTAACGAAAAAAAGAAGAGAGAAAAAAAAAAGAATTTTAAAGGAGT